CTTTCGCAAATAAAAAAAAAAAGTTTCAATTTAATCCAAACTGTTTAATATTAAATAAATATATAAGTCATTATATATAAATTATAATTACCTCTGCCTGAGGTATAATTATAGATACATAAGCAAGCCAATAGTCGTTCTTCGAGCTCGAAACCAGGATGAACAAATTGTTCGATACTATGAAGTACAATTTCACAAGCAGAATTTCTCACTTCATCAGAACTTTTCACTATTTCACATCCAAGCCAAGAAATAGCTATTAAACAATCTCGAGAAACTCTCTTCGATTTGCAATTAAGTCCCTTTTCCAATGCACGAAAAACGGGCTCCCCAATTTGAAGCATTCTTTGTCCGATTTTGCTGCACCATAAATCTATTCCACCATCCTATATATTTTTTTAAATGCATTTTATTCTTTATAGATTCTAAAAGAAAAAGGGACCTCGATTTTAATTCAGATAATAAATAATATATATAGTATACCTGCATGCTTTGATCAAGAAAGTCATAGTTTTTTATCAAATTCATATGATTCGCCGAGGGTAAAACGGTCTTTTTCACCAGCCATGCAGTAGTGTATGGCTCCCCTGTCCATGAGTAAGTTCCACCGAGATTCGATAAAATAAACGCCGACAAAGCTTGTGTCGACGATGACTCGTCACACGCAAGTGACTCGAGTAGGGCATTTGCTGCTTCTTCTCTATACATACATTTTGCAAATGTATCTTCCTAAATAAAAAAAATAAAAAAATCATTATTTAGTGATTTTTATTATAATGTTTTTTTTAAAGAAACGCATAAAAAAAAACTTACAAGAACTTCTAACTGAAGCAGCAAATTAGCTGCAAGAAGTCTATATTCCGGTTCGGAATTCTGCGTGAGCAGAAATAAAGCGCACATATTATTTACGCTCCCTTGTTTTCGTATTTCCTCCAACAAACCGATACTCGACGACCTAAAATTTTCAAGAAAATAAATATTTCATAATTAACACACTGAAATTTATTTTAAACTCAAGAATACTACAGCTAGTCTATAGATATATCTCATCCGTACCTTGGCATTTTACTAAGCTCGTTAAAAAACTCGAGCGCAACATTCGTGGCACGTTTTTCGTTACTCCAAAGAAGAGATACAAAATTTCCCACCTCAGAAAACTCGTATATATACCTCCTACAGTTCCCATCGAATCTCATGCACTCGACAAGTACAGCAGCCAAAGAAATAAACTCCTCAAGATTATCTTTCCTCGGTATTTTCACAAGCCTTGAAATCACTCTCCTCGAACTAATCTCCGATAAATGCAAATTATTCGTCTCGCAGTCGAAAGCTGTCACTAAAACCTCTATAATCATCAACGAAGCTGCAGGCGGGGTCGGCATAATCGAGGCTAAATTCAAATCCATCTTGTAATAACTGCAAACAACCTCGACAAGACAAGGCAAGAGCTCGAGTGTTTTAATTTCTAACGGAGATGGATTTATCAAGTATATAAGTGTAACCGCCTCGTGCACTTTATTCTGTTTGAGGGCCGTCGCTAAATCGTACAACTGAAGCCCTTTTCGTTTGACGTCTTCTAGAAGCGATCGGTTCGAAGTGACGATAGTTGAAAGTATCGACATTGAAGTCCTAATTACTTTCGCTTCCTTCGAAGAGGAAATGGCTATTAGTAGTTGATCCAAGATTACGTCTTTTAGGAGAGGGTATTTTGGTCCGGATTTGCTGTTTAGTATCTCGTGTATCTTTGTTATTTCGAACGTGTAACGGTACTCTTCTTCTTTTTCGTCGTTTTGTTGTTGTTGTTGTAAGGGAACTAATTCGGTTCTGCAGCTTGAGCTTTTCTGAATCCTTAAACTTTTGTGACGAACTTTTTTCGTCGCTGTTTTTTTAATGATTATACGTTGTGACTGGTCAGGGAAAACATCTTCTTCCACAGAGGAGGCGTTCGATTCTGGCTCTGATTCCGTTAAAATATCTTTGAGGCATTTGATGTTCGATCTAACTTTAGTTTTCGTCTTTTTCGAATAAGATGCAATTTGCTCATCTTCCACACCATTAGTACTGCTTTCTTGAGAACTACGAGGCTGCATCAAATTCTTTTCCAAATCGAACATCAAAAGTAAGGAAAAAATCGAAAAAAAATTAATATAGAATCTTGGATTTCTAATTAGGATCAAAATGTTTATATCCAATAATTAAATTATTATGAAATCAGCTTCTCAAGCTGTATCATTTTATTTATTTTTATTTATTTTTATTTTTTCAATTTGAACATCAAAAGTAACGAAAAATCGAAAAAAAGTAGAATCTTGGATTTATGTAGATCAAAATGTTTATATCCAAGAACTAAATGGTTATGAAATATTAGTAATTTTGTTGAGAATTAGTACAATCTGCATCAATTGTTTGTTTTTTTTTTTTTTTTGCAATTGGATCATCAAAAGTAACGAAAAATCGAAAATAATATAAATCTTATTAAGAACAATTAATTAATGAACTTACATTATGATTAGTATTAATCCTTAAAAATCCACTTGTGTGTTCACACGAATTCTGAGGCTCTAAGCTTTTCGACCTCCGAAAACTGCTCCGAAACACGAAACAAAATTAATCCTCTCCGAAAATTCGATTCGTGATTATTTTTTATAGTAGCACTAACACACATTCGAAACACTAAAAAATTCGACACACGATTAAAAAAAAAAAAAAAAAAAAAACTACTCACACATTAGTCGTAGTTCCTCGATTTCCCATATCGCGAAAATCATCGACACCCGACATAATCCGATAGTACATCAACCACGGCTTATACCTTCTAGCCATCCACCTCATCGTGATGACGTCATCATCACCGACCATGACGTCATCGCAACGGCTAATATCGACGAGCAACAACGGCAGCAAACTCCGGCAGATTCCGGGAGCGAACTCATTGCACACGAGCCCGGGGGAGACGGAAACCGCCTGGAGGAAATGCAGGGCCACCTGCCACGTGTCGCCCCTGAGGAACTCGACGACGGAGAGGTAAAAGTAGGAACTGCAGAGTAGGTAACTGTTGGGAATCCCCATGGTGATTCCATTTTCGTCGAGCGAAGCTGGCACCTGGAGCATCTTCTCCGAATCGTCCAATTGAATTGATCTCTGGTTCGGGCATTTGGATTGGGATGCTGAGTCAGCGTTGACTATCCCCCAGTAGAGGTTTGACACGGCGGAGTGTTCGGAGAATTCGAAGAATTCCTGCGCTTTGATTTTGAGTTTGGAGGTGCATTTGAGGGTTAGGGCTTTTTGCGACTGTGTGTTTTGGAGAATTGTTTGCATGTGGTGGTTGATTATGGTGACGAGTGTACGTACGGATTGGATGTCCGGTGGTTTCTGATTTTCGCCGGAGAATTCTGGCGGCGGCGGCGGCGGCGGTGGTGCTGGGATAATTTGGGCGGTTGGATGATGTGACGTCATCGTTTTTTATATCTCATTCAAACAAGTTGGAGATGGAAGAAGAAAGAAGGACTGGATTTTATTATTACATATATTTGTGTGTGTGTGTGTGTGTGTGTGTGTGTGTGTGTGTGTGTGTGTGTGTGTGTGTTGTGTGAATTATGGATTAATTTGGGAATTAATAGGGAAGAGGTAATACTAGAAGTGGAAATAGGAACGGAATTTCTGATTTTCTTCGATTTTGATCTGAAATTTTCCGATTATGATTTTTTTGAAACGAAATTGGAATATATACCAGATTCAGATTATCGATACGATTTTAGTTTACTCAAATATTTCTGAAAAGTCCGATCATTTTACGAAAAGTACACTTATAATATGTGTTTCGTATTATAGGTACTAAAATTAGGAATATCTGAATGCCGCCGATCTCAATTAAAATATAATATGACTTCGGAACAAGTTTTTTTTTCTTATTGCAATTTCCAAAATTCCAATCTCCGATTTTTTCCATTTTTTTAACGGATTTGGAATTATTTTTCCACTTTGCAATTCCCGAGTGCGCTATTTTTGATCGTATCCGTCCGATTTTCACATTAATTAATTTTCTTTAATGTGTGGGTCGGACCTTTAAACGACACTTAATTCGAAATGGAGGAACTAACACGAATTTACTATATTATCTATTAACTTTCTTGATAATGCCTTTCACATGGAGACCAAAAATATTGATTTTAGGAGGTGAGGTTGTATATTATATTTCCTCAAAGATAATAGATTTAAAAAATAAATAAATAAAAAATTAATTAATATAATGAAAGACATACTGGTTTTGAGGGAATATATTACAAGGCAATGATTGATTGATATATACAAAGTACTACGTTAATTTAGAGTTCATGTCTGCCATTATTGTCATATGATTATGTCTTTTCTTATCAAAAAAATTAATTAATTAATTAATTAACTTTTTATATTCGAAAATATGCTTTTGAAAAGGTGTTTAGCTGTAACTAGTATGGGCACTATAGTTTTCATTTGTCTCTTTTGCCATGCTCATATAAAACACACGTCTCCAATTTAATTATTTATATTATAATTATTTAATCCTACATTATTTTTATTATTTGTTAATATTAATTAATATCAAAATAAATATCAAGAAATATTAATAAATTATTAAAATTCGGCTCAAATGAGTTGGTCCCATTGTAACTAATTATAAATCTCGAGTTTCACCGGTTCCGAACCGAAATTCCTGATTTTGGACGATGTACAAAATATATGAAATTCCATTTTCCGATTTTTTCGAAACTTTTTGGAACAGGATTGGGATTGGTTTTCTCACTCTCGATTTTTTTTCGTTTTGTTACTTTTCTAATAGTGTTAATTCGATCTGATCCATCAAATTTACGCTATGCAAAAAATTACAATCAAGTAATTAATAATCCAAAAAAAAGCATATTAATTAAGATTATTCATGAAAGTGTGGGCCCGGCCCATTAATTATGTAGATAAAATAAAATGTGTGATGGTTCACATAAACTTGGATATCTCTGACCCTAATATTAATTACATTTTGTTTGGTATAATATAATGAACGACAATTTACTGAAATACCAAGTGTGGCTGTACTGAAAATGACTTGTCTTAAAAAATGCAGAAGCACCCAATGCACCTCATTTTGATTAGTCCTTTTTTGTACTATTAACTTCTAATTTGTGGCAAATTCATAATTATTGATAACTATTGATGTGCCTAATTGGAATTTCAGCAAATAAAGGCCTAAATTATATCCAATTAGTAACAAACGCCCAATTATCGACTATTACTAATAAATATATGGCGGTTTAACTCAAATAACGAGGTACACAGTATTTTGGCAATTAATTAATATTTTTTTTGCTTATTTTGTGATAATACTCTGATCTGAGCGTCGGAGGACTATCGCCGGGCTAAACATGACGTGTTACCTAGTGTTTTTACTGTAGGTTAACGAGCAGATCTCTTGGGTCGCCCAATCAACGAGATTTGAGCAACAACGAGTGGACTCCTATCCATTCGACTACCTCAGACACGTGGTATTAGTAGTCTTCAACATTTTCTACAATTGCGGTTTCAATCCCTTCGACTACCTAAAACACGCGCCAGTAGTGTTCGACATTCTCAACCATTGCAGGTTCCAACACTCTTGAATCGCTCAATCGACACTCGAGCAGCATCACATAATTTGTTGCAAAAAAACTGAGATCAAGATTATTGATATCAAATGTGGGTCACAAAACAGATTGGAATGGGATGCATCGCAAAGCTCTTGTCTGTCACGGGCACAAAAATAAATAAATTAAATTTGGTCTTTTTAATTTTCTAGATTGTGGTTCAAACTTACATGTAAAACACATATGATGAAATTATTAATGTAATAATTGATTTTATTTTATTTTTTTGGAATGAGACAGTTTCTTGTATGTGTTTCGTAAAGGACTTGACACCTAACTAAAGCTCACACAAACTTTGTCCAAATATAACATTGTTGCCAATTAGATATAGGACCAAATTTGAGACAAAGAAATAAAATTGTTACACATTGGATAAAAACAAAATGCAACAGCAAATATTGCATTTGTATTCTTCTATTGCAAAAATCACAAGTCACATTTTAGCATTTTAGTCACATGTAGATACAAACAACCCGTGAATATATATATATATATCAAAGATTGCATTAGTATTATAATCATATAATTCAACCAAATGAACTGGATCACTAGTCGAGCTAGGATTTTAACATCAAATAAATTATCGGAGCACCGATAATACAATGTAATTTGTAAAAAAACAACTTTCAATATCAAAAAAGGGTAAATTACAAACAGATCCTCTGAAGTAAGGTCTATTTACAAAAAGGCCTCTCATTTTTCATAATTACATCCACTCCCTTGTAGTTTGTATATTTCTTCCATTAACACCCTCTTGTAGGGGGGTGAATGTAAGAAATTAGCAAACTGCATGGAGATGATGTAATTTCTGAAGAAAAAAAAACGATTTTTTGTAAGTATACTTTACTTCAGGGAGGTGGTTGTAATTTACCATTTTACATTATATATTAAGATAATGAATAAATTTGAAGAGATGCACTTGATCTAGGTTGGGCTAAATTTTAAAAATTCGAATAGTGGGTTCTTTGTAGCCCATTTGTCAAAATCATCTTTAGGTGAGTTGGGCTTTGTTTGGATCCAATTTCATTCTAGCAAATATTTAAACTTTTCTTTTTTCCGAATAGAAAAGGAAAGAATGTACCTAACATTTTAATAAATAATATTTTTATTTATCAATGACATGTAATCCATTCATCGCAAAATTAAATATTTACATACCCTACCATACCACACCAACTATGATAAACCACACTAACAAAATAAAACATGTGCTATGAAAAATGAACAAAAAATATATCATATTTTTTTTCTCTCCAAATGAACTTCCATATGAATTTTCTTTTCTCAGTTAGTTACTATCCCGTGAGGGATGGGCTAGTGGTTGTAGCAAACGAGCTTCCGTCAATTCACTCACATTTGAATTCATTGGCAACGGGTCGGTCGTTACGTCGATCTTATCACACATGATTAGCTAGTGTGATTTACGTCTCTCGTATAGTTTACAAACTATTATACGAGAATTTAAGTTTACCCAGTACACCTATACAGTCAGTCAACTGCGGGTTCTTTCATTATACTCCCTCTGTTCCCTTTTAATAGTCGTTTTTAGCTTTGCAGATGGATTAATGATTTCATTAAATGTGTCTTGGTTTCGTTAAAATGACCTTATATTATAATTAATAAGAGAGATAAACGAATTAAAAAAATAGTTAATAAAAGCATAAACTGGAAATTAAGTAATTAATGCAGTATTAAAAATCTAAAATGACAGATAATATAAAATAAAATATTTTTTAAAAAAGACGATTATTATATACCGATGGACTAAAAATAAAATAAATAAAAAGATAGTTGATTCAATTAATAAAAATTGAATGGGGACACAAATGATTATTTTCAAAAGGAAGCGCGTTTTCAGTAAACCAATATTTCGAAATACCCCCCAAAAAACTTTTATTTCTTATTTTTCACCCTTCCAAAAATACAAAAAGTGAAAACAAAAAGCAAAGACAAGCAGTCACTGTAAAGCAACTCACAACACACACACACACTGACACACACTACACACAAACACAGACAGAGTATCCAAAAATGATTGAAGAGCGCCGCGCCGGGCCGCCGCACGCGGCCATACTGGCGGTGGTAGTGGTGTTGGTGATGGTGGTGCCGACGTTGCTCGGCGACCAGGGAGAGGCGTTGACCGGATTCGTCGCCGAGCTGCTCAGCCCGGTGGGGCTCCTCCTCCTCCCCATACTCCTCCTCCTCACAATCCAATTCCTCTCATCCGAGAGCGGATCCTTCGTCGCCGGAATATTCTCCACCGGAGAACCGAATTCCATCCACCGCGTCAGCGGATCTCCCGTCGGCGTCGCCCTAGTTCTCCTCCTCGTTTTGTTTCTTCTCTACAACAGATTTTCCATCTTCGGCGGCGACGACGATTCCGGCGACTGACGGCGACCGGTGCTCCGATCTGTAACCGGCCGGCAACATGAATTTTTCCTCCGTTTTCTGTGATCTAATTTTGTGCCTTTTTCGGTTTAAATTAAAGGTTTTTTTTTTTTTTTTAATTTTATTTTACTGTTATTTTTAGTAGTAGTTTTATATCCGAGTGTTGTACGGACGTAAAGCTTAGCTCGTGTATGAACATGGAAATTGGTATGGAAATTACGAAAATGGCCCTCTGTTGACTTCTTGATATTTGTGCTGTGCGTTCATTAACACTTGTTTGTGAGGGCAATTGTGTAATACTATATTACAAAATCAACTCTCAGACTCTTGAGATTTGACCTTATTCATATAAAATAATGTTTGGCTAATTAGAAAATATACACAAAATGAAATATATATATATATATATATTTATTTATATATATATATATATATAATATCAATTGAAAATTATTGGTTTAGTATATAGCATAATTTGTGCTCTTTTCATAATTTACTTTGTTGAGAATTAGCCCGAGGATTTAGATGTTCAAACAGCACTAGTAAAACTACGTGCGACGAATTCGACTTAAACAACATTGAGAGAAAAAATCGAATTTGGATCGTTGGACGCTTTTAATTAATTTATTTTTTTCTTTTTGAAGTCATCATCTACGCCGGCTGTCGGTGGTTGGCCCTTCTCTTTCAAGCAAGTCCAATCAAAAACCACTTTCTCAAATTTATAATTCAGTCCTGCATCTTTCTGGAATTAATTTGTGGCACGTGGGAAACTTCTGTGATTTTTGCACATCTCAATTTTTATTACTTGTGTTCATCTGGTTTCGGTTTTGGTTTCAGTTTCGGTTTCTTAATTGAATAATTGAAATTATCTCAAAACTCGTCGTTACATAAGGTAAAAGAACTAGAAATCACGCCTCGTATTTATATAACAAATGAATTTAAAAAAAAAAGACCATAAAATCACGCTCGTATTTATCGAACAATAAAACCATAGAAAAGCGAATGCTTTTCAAATATCGAAAAATTTAATCAGCACAATATACCATCAACACGATGCCTATGTATGTATCCGATCCCATTCTCACAACATCAAACAGTCATGTGAGAAGGTAATGAACATAAGTCACGAGTCGAAAATTCATCAGACATTCTAAACAATTTTAGCAGCAGCAACATTTGAAAAAAAAACAAAAATTTCAAAAACTGACATTATTATAGGGTGAAATCTCGGCTGTTGTCAAGTAATATCGATTTCTACCTACGATGCTAAGATTCAGCGTATGGCGGTTGTGGATAACTGCAATATAATAATATACAGGAACCAAATAATAACTGCCGCATAGTCTTCTGATGCACAAAAAGAAAAAGAAAAAGAACCTCCTAGAATTGGATGGCTTGAAAGTTGAATCCGAATCAAAAGTTCAGTCGAATTCTTCTCGTCTCCTTGAAAATTTTACTTATGTGATAGATAGATATGGGAGGTCATCCGCTCGTAAAATCTGTTCAAGTGATAGAAAGAAGTTTACTGTTAGAGCAGACAATTTTTTCCATCTACAACAAAACTACCAAGAACTCATAGTCAATATAAGTTTACACCATGTATATATATATATATATATATATATATATATATATATATATATATATATATATCATCATGCATTCATGCTCATTTATACACACAAACATGGATGTGTGTGTGTGTGTGTGTGTGTGTGTGTGTGTGTGTGTGTGTGTGTGTGTGTGTGTGATGTATCCAGTGAACTTATAGAATAACCCTGATATAATGGCCTCAACGATGTTTTAACATAAATGCAGTGTGAAATTTAATGCGATAACTTTCTTAGAAAGAACTTTTGGTAACATATGGGATAAAATAGCACGCACTTATCAAGTTAAAACTAGTGCTCTATCGCAAAAGTGCAACGTTTCTCGTGTACTTCAAAGTAGTAACATGTGGTAAAATCCGAGCATATCATACAGACGACGATTTCATTAATTTGAAGTAGTACTCTATGACAATGAAGAGCAATCTTTTGTGACTAAAAGAAGAGAAGGAGAGGTTTAATTAATATACTGCACCCACCGTTTCTTTTAAACTGGACGAGTTTCCGAATTAATTTTGGTCGGGATTGGCTTTTATTGGTAGCTCGGACAAACTAACAGCCATAGGAAATCTAGCAGAGATTAACTTTGTATGAGTGAACTACATGTGTTGTGGATATTCACAACTATTAGGGTGCAGCTTACTTAACATGGATATTCATTGCGGCAGATAATTCCTTTTACCAAACCTTAACAAGGTTTACGATTCCTATTTTATTCGTCTAACGTAATTCTTAGCATAGTATTATAATGTCCGTCCTACAATAACATGCTCGGCACAAGTGAATATAACCGTTTTATAATGACGAAAGTTGAGCTCACCTTCATGCCGCGAAACTTTCGAGCTTGTCACAGTGAGGAGTCGGAAAGTGCCGATTCCACTGACGCCTCTGCATTTCGATGTGACAATAGCGTCCAAGCATATGTTTGTAATCCTTGATCACGTTATTTTCAACGTCGTTTCTAGCGGAGCTTCCAATTGGATAGTTCTCGTCAAATTGAGGCGACTTGACGAAAAACTCAACCCCGTGTTTCTCTGTCATTTTCTTATACTGATACGAATAGTTCTTCTGCAACGAATACTCAGGCTCCGAAAACGGAAGATAAGCCAGCAAAATGATTATCAAAAACGGCAGCAACTGAAGAAGAAGCATGATATTCGGCCCCCCGCCACCTATATCTTCCCTCTGATGTGCAGCACCAGTATTGTTGTGTGTTCGAGTCCTGTAAACGTGTGCATGCCTAAACACGTCACGCTGACCAAAAAAGGCTCTAAAAATCTCGTCAGGGTCGAAATCGTCATCGAAGAAGTCGTTCCCGGTTCTCCTTGTTCTTCTCCTCACTTGATGCTGCTGGTTATACTCGAACTCATCGACTAAACCTGTATGGTCATACTGCCTCCTCGATTCATCATCGCTCAAGCACTTAAACGCCTTGCTAACTTTCTTGAACGCATCTTCAGAACCGGGTGCCTTGTTCTTATCCGGATGGACTTTCAGCGACAGCTTCCTATACGCCTTCCGAATCTCCTCCACGGTGCATTTTTTCTCCACGCCGAGAATCGCGTAATAGTCCTTCTTCGTCTTGATCTGCCTCACCAAGTGCACGTGCTCCTCCGTGTAACTCCTCTCCCCGTTCGAAACCCCATCACCGTTGACCGAAGCTTCATCAGCTTTACCGTTGGCAACATTCTTCACGTCATTCGACGGACCCGCGGCAGAAGAAGATGAATCGAGATTCTCACATGCAGCCAGAAGATCGTCCATGGGCAAATCCTGATTGAGACGGCGGGCAATTCCGAGAAACTTGAGGGCTCTTTGTTTATTGCCAGACGTAATCGCCTCTTTGGCAATATTGATACATCTCAAAGCCTCATCTTTGTTGCCTTCCATAACTTTTTCGATTTTATTTTTTCGAATTCTCACTCAATAAACACCTACTCAGAATACACAAACAACACAAAGGAAGAAATGCCCAAATTCCCAAATTGCCCCCAAAATTTCAATCTGGGGATTCAAAACCTAGAAATTGGTCGAACCCCAGAAAATCAGAAATCCAGGAATCAATCAACAGTCAATTACCCATTCCTCGAAAACTAAAAAACTCACCTAATAGGAAAAAAAAAACATGAAAAACCGATATCAGTATCTCAAATTCTCAATCAAATTGGGCGATTAAGCTCGGTATAGCAGATAAAAACAGTATGAACAAAAACCACAAATATGTGAATTAATCAAACAAAAGATATTCCAAAATCAAAAGATGCGCAATTTCTTCTTACCTTAGTATCACAGATCCGAAATCCGACGACCGACTCAAAGAGAGGAGTGTGAGATAGTGTTTGAATGTGTGTGTGAGAGAGAGAGAACAATTCACAAATATGATGTTTGCCGAATCAAAGTGTGACACGTCATCTAGCCACTCATAATTTTACTTTTTGTTATATTCTTATTTTTATTTTTTCTCAGTCAAATATTTATACATGACTACTGATAAACTGAATTTGATTCATTGAACCAATGTCAACGTTATATATCACTTTGTTTAATGTTTGGGATCTCTAATAATTTATCGGGTCGATTCATAAGGTTTCATTATATTATTTAATCTTATACTGGCAACCAAACGAGGCTTATTATTTTCCTCTTAAATTGGCTACAAAATTTGTTGAATATTAACTTCTTGTATCAATGACATACTCTAGCTTGACACTAATAAAATTAACATTTTCAGTATCCTGGGATGATTTTTTTCTTTTTTAAATAATCGAAATGTCCGAACCTCGTCCGACTAATTCTCGAGTTCAGAATTATAATAGATTCGGTTACAACAACATTGGTTAGAACAATCATTCTTCTTAACTCAAACATTTCTCTATACAAATCCAAACTCACTTTCTCAATTCTCATCATCAGTGTCAAATGACTGTCTTCTCCTCAAAGATTCAATCACCCCAACCGGCCTATCTCCCCGTAAATTACTCTCCCGATTTTGCCCCACTGTCCGAGACTTAAGCTTAGGCACATTCATCGCACTGAGAGGCGTCGAAGCACCGTTGTTCACTTCTCTCAGTACCGATCTCGCGGTGGCTGCCGCCACGGCATCAGCCACTGCCGACGCCACTTTAACATTCTCCGGCAACTTTTTGCTCTTTGCAGCAGCGTAAGGCGAAAGATAAGCCTCCGATCTGTACATGTTCGCAGCTGTATTCTTTGCCTTCATTGATTCGTATTTCTGAATATCGTATATGAGTTCTTTCTGGAGTTGCCTATCGGCAACTAACATGTCTTCGATCTCGCTCTTGTAGTCCTTTAGAAGGATTCTCAGGCAATCCATGAGTGAGCCTATGAGAGGGCTGTTTTTGCTCTCTAGAAGGCGTTTTAGTTCGATGAAAATGGGGATTGCGTTTTGGATGAGCCCTTTTCTGACTGCTTGAGTTATTGCTCTCCCGTTTTTCGCACTGTCTCCACCTTCGTCTTCTACGTCTAATGCCTCCGAAGATGGTCCGTGATTGGTCTGAATTCGGATCTCTTTGCTAGAGAGTACGAGGAATGCATCCTGTTCAATCATTACCAGAAGATGTAAAATTTAAGGCATTTGTGTCGGTACAACACATTGGAGAGAGGAAGAGAGAGAGAGAATATTACCTGTAAAACTGATTGGGAAGTAGTGTCTTCTAGAATGAGCAAACCATCCGATGCAGCAGCAAGAATTTCAGCACATACTTTTGCAAAGGTGGCAAGAAGGTGCTCTGGGGCCATTTGTTTCAACAAGGTGGCATAAATGTGCATCCTTTGAGACCTTGACTTCTCATCGTTTCCTCTGGGAAAAATAAATTCAATTTCGTACGAGTTATCTCTGAGTGCCGTACAATTAGATGACTTCTAATTAAAGGGATTAAAAAACGTGCGAACCTAATTGAAAAAAGACGGTTTTCATTGCGTGAATTATTGGTGTTGCTACGTCCTGTATGTGCGTTGCAGTCATTCAAGACAAAGACAGATTCCACAAAGCTGTTATAAGCTAAAAGTGGGGCCTTTGCTGCAGATTAGAAGTCACCGAAAAATTTAAAGAAGGAGAAAACGTGAAAACCAATGTTAAGGTGAACTAACAGAAACAGTATGTCAAACAAAGTTTGTAACCTTTTAAGATATTCCCAAAGAGGAAATCAGCTAATTGCCTAATATTCTCTGAGTCATCAACTAAACACAACAGGAATCTAAGGAAGAGCACTCCTCTCCACTTGACATAGTCCCGCTGTAAGAAAAGAAACCAAGTTGAAGAAGACGGTACCTTGTAACCGATCCTCTAACAAAATTGTGTTACGACAAAGATGTACCTGTAATAGCCTGGACAGTAGAATAAATGTTTGCTTTCTTACCACTTCACATGGATCTCGCAGACACTTTGTGATCTTTGACATATAACTGTAAGGTTCCCAAACGATGTTAAGAATCTTTGGTAAGTTGCAAAATATGAAAGTACCGACATTAACAAAACATAATACTGGGTCTCACCAGTCAACCATAGCCGTGTATCGCACACAAAAATCTGCCATCATCACTACTATGTTATTGCGTAGTGCAGCAGACTCACTCTTCTCAAGCTCCTGCAGATAAAAAAAGAGAAAAGAAAATAGTAGTTGAAAAAGTGTAGCTAATATAATAATATAACAATATGAAAGTTTCAAATTGGAGATCTAACACTTATGCAACTGATTTAGCTGTAAGTTTGGTACATTAAAGAATTTCAACTGTTTTTTTCTCCAATCGAGATATGCTAGTAAAGAAGAGAGATCGGTACATTTTTTGTTATAAGTTGTAACTTGATAAGGACCATGAGTTGGAAATATACCTGCACAAAAAGAGGAAGATAGCGCTTTGCAAGTTTTCCATCAGCTAGGCAAATTTTGCCCATGGCCAGCCATGCTTGTAAGTATAAGGATGGGGCGATCTGCTTCATACGAACGACGGGCCCAGTTTGTTTTCTTGACTTTGGATCGGAATTCCCTGAAGTGATGATGGCATGTATGGTTGGAACAATTGTTTCTAAATTGGCTGAAGGACAGATAATTACCAATGACCCAATGGTATAAACGGCAATAATTGTGTTTGCTAATAGTTTCGACACGGTGTCTGACATTCTTGGTTCTTTCCGACGTACAGTGCTCTGTGGTGTAAGAAGAGCACTTATCCTATCAGCATCAGAAATTTCAGACATGCACATGTCTAAAACTTTGGAGGCTTTAGATTGAAGCTGGTTCACCCATCTCATTACAAGGTTATCAGCCTCTTCCTGACCTGAAGCCTTACGTCTGCACAATGTTCTCAGTGCTTTTACATGAGCATTAACCTGGTTCAAGCGCACAAAATCATTCAACATAGACACTATACAACGTAAAAGCTTTGAGCACCGTATAGAAGCTATAATAGGAAGAAGACTAGTTTATAAATAGTTGTGTCAACAAAAAATCATAATATTGATAAGGAAAAATGACCGACAATTTGTCCTTCACAAACATGAAAAAAGACACGAAAACGTCAAATCACAAACATGAAAACGTCAAATCAAAAACCAACAAGATACACTAGATTATATAATCATAATCCATGCTGAGTTTATCAAACAAGTTGAAATTTGTTATGCATGATAATTTCTACTGAACGGTTGTTATTATAAGGGAATTTCAGTTGACATAGCTAGAGGGCTTGGATATTGCCCATCTGATTTGAATTTCAGGGTATGTTGTCTGACAACTACGACATGCTATATATAGCAAATGACTCTTTATAAGATAATAACTAGCCTAGCTCCGTCAACCAAGTTGCAACGAAATTCGGAGTTTGACCAATTTTAAGCAAAATGATTTGTCATTCAATTCACCTATGTAGAAGTCACACAAGTGACGAATCATTGACGAAGGAAACTAGTTTTCAAGCTATTCCAACTCATTAGTGCAATTGGTTATGTTACTTACGTAGTACAAACTCAAAACTATATATACCTCAGTTGTATGCATGTTGAACCCTTCAAGTCGTTGGAGTAAATTTTGCGCTAGATCTGCAGCAGGTTCAGGAGGAAGCTCCATTGAAACATTAGAAATTGCCTGCAATAGAAAGACACGATCTCTCGCCCAATCAACAGAACTAGATTCTAAATCAATCTTGTCTTTCCCTGCATATTCCCCTGGAAGAGGGCTTTGGGGTTGACCAACAGATTTATACTTATCAAGAAGCTGCCAATGATGATGAAGGAACTCCCAGTCAACTGCTTTTGAGAGGAATGCAGATACTTCAGACAACAAAAACCAAGCGCCAGGTGGCGCTGTCCACTTCTCTATCGGCATGCAATTTTTTAGCCATTGAGTTTCAGATGTCCTGATGATATTTTGAAGCGAGGTAACAATTCTCTTCTGGAGCTTTTTCTTTTTCCCCAGACCTGAGCAGATCTTCTTCACCCAAGGTGATACCTCTGTGTTGCAAATCTCTTTCAGCAATCCTAGAACTCCCTCTGGATATAACAACTCTGTTTCCGTATCCGAGACATTTTTCTTGCCCTTTGCATCGTGAGCAATGGGGTCGTAATTGGCTGAACAGCTCGATCCAACCCTAGTTATGCGATCAAGAACCAGTTCAAGGAAAAGATTCTCGCATTCCTCTTGGATGCTAGTTTCATTGTCACCTATTAAACGTGGAACAGAATGCACCCACTCATTGGTCACGAGACGGGTTGAGTGTGTCCTGAAGGCCTACAGATCAAAAGCAAATCATATTTTAAGATTAAACCACTAGAAACTTCAATAACTGTAAAGGCAAACAACACATGGGAAGATAATCTAATAACAACATTAGAGGATTATAGATGGTAATTGTCAGTATATACCATGAATTTTGTTAAAATATTAAGAACAATTTACAGGGAAAATAAAGAAAAATATCAAACAGGAGAAAAAATATTTGTGGTAAACTGGCATATGTACAGACAGACACCTTCACCCTTATATGCAAACACCCATGGAAATGCCACTTAAGTGGTGGAATCGTATCAAATATCAGATATCTGATTGGTTGGAAATAATTGGAAATAGTTAAGCACGGACATCAAGCTCACCTCAGATAGAGCCGAGACAGCAACTTTCCTAATGCTAACAAGTGGATCAGAACAAGCCATGCCTACTGTCTTTAGCAGTTCCTCGTCAAATTCGCCTCCTAAAAGTGCTGTCAATTTGGATATCAGCAACAGAGCTGCCTTTCGAACTGCAGCTTTTTCATCCATACAGCGTAGCTTTAGGATATTGTTAATCCCGTTAATCCCCTCATGCCCAAACCCCATCAACTCTTTCAACACCGTTCTACTTTTGTCATTCCCCGACAAAGACACCACAACCTGAGCTAAGTTTGTTAAAGCTCTAGCTCTAACACCAACTGTCGAATCAGAGCAGCGCTGAATCAATGCTTCTAATAGCCTCAAACCCCGTGAATTCTCAACCCCGTCAACCATATCAAATCCGAAAGGACCCTTCAATGACATCAATAAAACCGGGATTAGATCCACAGATAAAAGCCTAAACTGCCCTTTCCCTTGGCTCATATTTACTACATAATCAGCAAATCCAACTTGAGAATCGGAATCTAAAGCCTTCACAATTTCCATGATGGACTCAACAGCTAACCCCCTCGCTTCAGTCTTTTCCGGGGATTTCTGCACCAAATACTTTGGCATGTTTGCAACCGCCTTCATAATGTCAACACAACTTTCGCCCATACCGACCATCTTATTCACCACAAAAAGCAAACCGAAGGTTCTAATCTGTGATTTAGACGACAAAATTAGAGGGGCTAATGCCTTCAATACCTCAGCAGCAGTTTCCCCCTGGTTCCCATGCTCGGATTTCAACGCTTCGGTCAAAACCTGAGAACACAACTCACATAACCTCCTGAAACTCCCCGTATTCCCCCAATAATCAACGGCTAGCATCGGAATCTCGCACACAGTCTGAACCAAAGCCTTCAAACAATCCGAAAACCTGTCCAAATGGACCAAATCCATCACCATTTTCATCTTATCAAGCAAAGAAAACAAATCTTTGACATCATAACCTCCCTCTCCACCCTCGTTCTCCTCCGAATCCCTACTTTCCACCCTGCTCTTATTCCCACCAACATTTCTCTTTCCTTTCTTCTTTCGGCCCGGGCTTCTGGACAAGGACTCTTCAATCGAAACAGAAGAGTGATTCTTTACAGACAATCGTATTGCACGGAGGAGGCTGAGAAAAGCCACAGGCGTAAAAAGTGTGAAGACTGGGGAATTGGGGGATAGAAGGAGTGAAAGATAAACTTTTGATGCCAAAATCGAATTGCTTGAGCTGAGCCCAGAATCCATGGCCGAAGAAATGGCGTCGGTGAGCGAATTGAGTGAGATATTTCTCGAAGAAAGCTCATTGTAGAAATTCTCGAGATCGATTGTGTCGTCGGTCTTCAGAGTGTAATCCAACAGTATCTCTAAATCGGCGAGAGCAGAACGCGAAATTGGTGCTTGCGTTCCGAGATTCGCAACTATTCGAGCTATAATTTCATCCATGGCGGAAAAAAATTTGGATGAATTTTCCGGTGGGTGCGGTGGTGGTGGGGCGGTGTAGATCGAGAACGACTTTGAATTTTGGGATTTTCCCGCTTAGAAATTGGGGATGAATTAGAAACGGCGGCGTTTGAGAGCTGCTCTTATTGTTTGGGAAAGGCATTTTATATTTAATATGAATTTTTTTAATATATTTTTTTTACCTTTATTTTAATTAGAGTTTTTCCAATAATTAAAAATTACATTCAATATTATATCTTATATATAGCTAACAAAATTTTGATATGTCATTATTTGAAGGGAGGTTATGAATTTTACTTAAATACAATTAAAACTCTATAAATTAATAGAGTCGAGATTATCAAAATTCTATTAATTTAGCGAAATACTAAATTATCGAACTAATAGTTTAGTAGGTTGTTACCGAGTCGGGACCAGAATAAATTATTATTTAGGCAAATTTTATTAATTTATCAAATATTAATCCATCGAGGTTCTATTGTATATTAATTAATTAATCAATTATTAAAAAAATAGAGAATAAACATTTAATTAAAAAAATATATTTTTTTATGAATAATGTGGATCGAATATGTGAGAGTGGGACCCATATACAATTGGGCCAATTAGACCCGGCCCAACCCAAAAAAAACGACACTAACCTGGAAAAGGGCATTATTGGAAAGCACAAAGAATATTCGTGGCTATTTTGGGTAATTCACACATGTCAAAAGTCCCTTTCTTTCTCAATCTCTTCTTCCTCACATTCTGTCATCCCTATATATATTCGATTTGCACGCACAATAAAACCCCTCTCTCTCTCTCTCTAGATCTTGTGCCCCACTCTCTCTCTCTGCAAAATCTATATTCCTCCCTTCTGCAATAATGCTGGTCTACCAAGATTTGCTCACAGGTGAATTTTGCAAATTATGCTTTTTCTTTGTTATTCTAAGCTGTTTATTGTGTAGATTTGTGTTTCGGTTTCGATTTCGGTTTCAATTTTCACATGCGGTTTGATTTTTTATTTAAAGTTTGGATCTTTTACTTTTTTTTTTGTTCTGATCTTGTTGTTGTATTCGTGTGTGTTACTTAATCAATTGATTGTGACTATTGATATAGATACACTATATTTAGCTAGCTGGTTTGATTTTTCGTTACTGTTTATAAAAAATAAATAAAAAAATCAAATTTGCTACTGTGCTGTAATTAGGATCAAATTAATGGATAATATTAGGAGATTTTTTTAGAAAATTAAAGTTTTTGGTATAGTTGTGGTTTTTCAGAATCATTGGGTTTGTGTTAGAATATAATTAGGAATTCGTCTTCGATTAGGAATCTTTTATATTAGGTAATACTTGCCGTTTCTACGATTATATTCTAACAATTGTATGAAGAGAGTGAATTATTGATCTGTTATTGTTAGATTCCTCTTTGTTGTAAATTGTTGCAAGTTACACGTACTTCTTCGCCCGGAAACGTTTTAACTGTGATCGAATATTGATTGTAGGTGATGAACTTCTGTCCGACTCTTTCCCGTATAAGGAAATTGAGAATGGAGCCCTCTGGGAGGTCGAAGGAAAGGTATAATATTTTTCTCTTTGTTAATGCAGTACATGTCAAACCTTTCTTGATGATTTAGTAATCGTCGTGGTCTCTATTTTTTTGATTAAATTATTATTTACGAGTATTGATATTGTAATTTTCTCGTAAATCACAGTGGGTGGTGACGGGGTCGGTCGATGTAGATATCGGGGCAAACCCATCTGCGGAAGGTGGTGGAGAGGATGAAGGAGTTGATGACCAAGCTGTCAAAGTGGTCGACATTGTCGACACCTTTCGACTCCAGGTATATATTATACGCAACTCTTACAAGTTGCAATAACCACTTAATTGGATATTAAGAATCCCGACTATGTTTTTGGGATTTTGATGTTTTTTAAATTGGATCAATTACAAGTTGCAGTAGCCACTTAATTTTGCAATTCTTGTCCTAATACCATTATTTGTATTCATAGGAACAACCTCCTTTCGACAAAAAACAATTTGTCGCCTACATCAAAAAGTACATCAAATCTCTGTCTGCAAAGCTTGAAGGCGAGCAGCAAGACCAGTTTAAGAAGACAATCGAGGGGGCAACCAAGTACTTGCTTGGCAAGATCAAAGACCTCCAATTGTAAGATACATACTCCTAATTTCTTTTCGTTATGTTTCGATTTTATATTGTATGTATTGGCTTAATGATTTTTTTTTTTTAATTATTATTATAGTTTTGTGGGAGAGAGCATGCACGATGACAGCACGCTCGTTTTTGCCTACTACAAGGATGGGGCGGCTGATCCGACATTCTTGTACTTCGCCCACGGTTTGAAGGAAATCAAGTGTTAAAAGTGGCTTGCAAAAGCTAAGGTGGTGTTTCGTTTAGCCATAGAACGATGCCGTTTTTTCGTATTTTTATTGCCACTCTCTAGAGTGAATAATTTGTTGCTTATTTTCGTTTTTGGTTTTTATGTTATCGTGCTACCATTTTTGACCGGATTGATGTGCTCGATTCTCTCTAAAAAGCTCGTTTTGCTCCACTCGATGATTCTGCGCTTCTTTTTAATTGCTTTGTTTATTTACTTGTTTATCATGTTATATTTCAAATATCCTTAACTATATAATCTTTGATTTGCTATAAAACCATATTTGGTATCTAGTACAATGTTCTTATAAATTATAGGTTAAATTACAACCTCCTCCCTGAGGTAAAGTGTAATTATGCAAAAATCCCTTCTTTTTTGAGAAATTACATCTAGTCCCCTGTAGTTTGTAATTTTTTTACATCGACCCCTCTATGAAAGGGTGTTAATGTAAGAAATCTACAAATTGCAAAGGGTAAGTGCAATTATGAAAAATGAGGGAGTTTTCGTTATTAGATCTTACCTTAGGGGCGTGATTGTAATTTATGGATGGCAAAACTAGTTTTATATCCGGCATGCCAAACATACCTTTACCAATTAAGCAACTAAGTCTAAAAAAAGTAAAAATCACTATAAAACAATATATTTATGGTAATTAAAAAATCCATGTGATTTCGAAATTAGGAATAGATAATGCAAATTAAAGTGGCAAACATGCCAATTAATGATGAGGTGCTTTAATTCAAATAGTAGTGATGTTAATGTGGATACTTTAAGTGAAAGCAACATTCTTAATTCAACAAAAAAGAAGTGTACTGCAAGGCATATAAGTTAGGCTGCAACCTAATTAAAATAATAATAATAAATAAATAGATAAAACCATATAATGAGTTGGACTAATGTATCTTTACATTAAATAAAATTAAAGAAAAATTCAACCAAAATGACACATAAGGTGTCCAGCAGTTGCTTTCGAGTTTCCGACACGAAACATATCCGAAATATGAAAACGTTAAAAAGTTTAAGTTTATATGCATAATATACATCGATGTAGCATTTAATAATCGTTTAGATAAATATTCTTCTCACACTCGAGAAAAACATTTTTTTATGGTACAAAAATCCATGTAATAATTCCATAGACTAGCTTCCATTTAGACATCCCATCCAAAAGTACTAAATCAATTTCATCATGCATGCATATGCATAACAAATGTCACACTAGTATTTACATGTATTATTGTTTTTGTGTATTTGTGTCATATGTATCTATCTGTAATAGTATATATATATTGCAATTTAGGACCTGTTCATAAATAGGATTACATCAAATTGAAATTATTTATATCTAAACACTGCCGCATAATCAGTTTTGTAGATGCTACACTCGGAAAATACATCCTGCACCACTGATTTGAAATTGCGCACTAAGATTGGAGCACCCTTTGGCGATTTTAGCCTCTAAAGAAGTCAAAA